CGTTGCCATAGGGTACGCCTGTGGCCTGCGTTCGTCACAAGGAGGACTCTATCGGACCAGCACCTCAATTTACTGCAGTTTCATGCTTTTTTATGTGATATTGATGCGCTGTGCTCTGGGGGGACAAGAGGCAAACTTCACCTCGGGCTATGAAAATAAAGGCGCATTAACGGGCACTCTTCGTACAGTGCGCTGCGATCTGCTTAGTGATCTTCGTGGTCTTTGGGGATCGCAGGCGGGAGCTGCGAGAAGTGGCGTCCGCTCTGTCTTCTTCCACGGCATTTCAGCCGAGGAGAGGGAGCTCAGGGGGCGACTCCAGGCGAACATCTCTAGGAGCGGCGAAGTGGGGGGGTGGGTTATCTGCTGCCATCGTCGTAACAGCTCATCTGTTGCTGGGCGCGGAGACAAGAGCAAGGTGAGGCGAAAGGCGAAGACGAAGCGCATCAGGCACAGGCTTTTCCAGTCCGTGTCTACGATGGCGGCGATGGTGGTCCTGCTGTTGCTGGTGCTTCTCCAGCTTGCTGTTCCTGGACTTGCTCAAAGTCCGGCATCTGGTACGGTAACGATCGCGAACTTCAAATATGGTGGCACTGGCTGTCCGCCTGGAAGTGCTGATGGCCTAATCTCCGAGGACGGACAGACGCTCACTGTAATTTACAGCAAGTACACTGTATTCACCCCAGGAAGGCTAGAGGACCGGCGGAAACTTTGCCAAGTGGCCGTCAACCTGATCTATCCGGAGGGGCTCACGTTTACTCTGGGGACTGTGACATTCCGAGGGTACGCCCAGTTCGAGGAAGACGTCACGGGTGCAGTGGCAGCCGCGTACTACTTCGCTGAAGGGACAGTCAGAGCTGTGCACAACATGCCTCCTCCCGTCGAAGGCAACTTTGAGTTCACCGACAAGTTCGTAGACCTTGTCTTTGCACCGTGTGGCAGTACGACGGTGAAGCTCAATATCAATTCCGAGGCAAGAGTGGTGCCTCCACCCCCGCCCAAGAATAACAACACAGGCTTGATCACCGTCGATTCTACGGATCTGAGTTTCCGCCAGATTTTTAGCCTGACGTGGAACGCGTGCTAAGGGCATACTCGTGCTGAAGCATTTCTGGACCCTCTGGCGGCAAATGCCGCCAGATCCAGTTCAGAAAGTCGTCGTGTGAGCATGCCCTAAGCTGACTTAACCAGGCGTCAACAACAGGGCGGGCGGTCGTTCGACATCAGCAAGCTACGTCGAGAGAACCAGAATGAGCGAGCGGGAGGGGCTCAGCTTGGTGATCATTGGGTTAATCTATCGGTCCGCAGCTGCATTGTCGGGGCCACGCGGTCAGCTAAGAACTGGCGACATCACCGACGGCAGGCGATCGGACGTGTGTGTGTCCAAGAGCACTTTGCTGATGGAGCTCTATAGGAAGCCTAGCCAGTTGTGGAACTGGTCACTCAACGATCGTTATAGTTATATGTAGTACGTACTTATTGTCTGGCAGGCGAGCAAGTTTCCACGTCATGTAATTTCTAAATCTGGAAAAGAATACGCTGGCATCTAGGACTTCCGGTGCTCGGGAACACCCCAAGCCGAGTGCGAGAACTGTTGCGTATAGATGAAGTAGACGGGCGTAGCGAACAGTAAGGCAGGCTACTTAGTGCTCTCTCTCTCTCTCTCTCTCTCTCTCTCTCTCTCTCTCTCTCTCTCTCTCTCTCTCTCTCTCTCTCTCTCTCTCTCTCT